CATTGCGGGCGGTGGTGCGGTCGGCATTGGTCAGTTTCGTTATCCTCTCCCGAGATATAGTGCTGACAGCGTGTCTAGAACTTGCCGGCGAGATTCGTGAAGCACATCCGGTGAGCACGGCGCGCGATGCTCATGCTCCATGGCGCGACTGACAGCTCTTCGCCTGTATAGAACACCAAGGTCACCATCGTCCACAGCGAGACGCGCCTGTTGAGCGACGTCTACCCTGAAAAGCTCCGAAAGAACTTAGAACAGAAGGTTCTCGCCCAGGGGATCACTCTCATAGACCAAGACTATATCGACGTCTTCCCCGATCCACTTTTTGTCACCGATGTCGTCACGCGCAAGGGCAAGACGATCAAGGATGCCGATCTTGTGGTGCGCACCTTGTCCCCTCGGAATTCCGCTTCGGCGTGCTGACACCGTCGCAGATCCAGGCCTTCGGCTCGCGTCCAAACACAGATGTCATTAACACGCTCGGAGCGGGCGTCCTCACCGAGGCCGGCCACGTCAAGGTGAAGCCGACGCTCGAGCTGCCGGACCACCCGGGTGTGTTTGCCGCGGGCGACATCATCGACTGGCACGAGCAGAAGCAGGCCCTCAAAAGCGGGAGCCACATGTCCGTCGTCGTGCCGAACCTGCTCAGTTTCCTCCGGGGCCAGTCCCAGAAGAAAGTCTACAAGGGCTCGACAGAGATGATCGTCGTCCCCATCGGAAGGGTAGGTCTAAACTTGTCCTTGCGCATGGATGGTGCTGAAAGGTCTGTGCAGCTGCATGGCTCGGGATATTTTGGTGTTCTCTGGGGCGTCATTCTTGGCGACTGGTTCGCCAGCATGATCAAGGGGAAGGACCTTCTCGTAGACATGTCACGGAAATCTCTCAATTACTAGATATTCGTGTCGTGTTCGCAGCTGTTTCGAGTCTCTCTTACTTGTTCTTATCTTTCTTAAGACCGTTCGGTTTGTTTACACCTCTTATTTCCTGCTATTCGTAATGTACAGTTCATAATCGTTACCACTTACTATGTTCGCGATATCGAACTGCCGTATGTGAGTAGGATGATGAGGGCCTCAGCGAACACATCTGTGCAGCCGTCTTCAGAGGCACAGTGTTCGTGACGGTAGTAGCACCGGCGTCGATACGTTCACGGACAAAGTAGTGGTGGATGTCAGTGTCTTTGGATCGCGGCTGTCTACTAACTCGCTTTCTTACTCTCTCAAAAAGCTGCTCTGGACTCGGTACGGTTGCCGAGCAGGCTCAGGTCAAATTCCCGAGACCCAAGTCAGAAACCCAAATCTGATACCATCAGCGCTCGGATAACCGCCGTACACCACCAATCTCCGAGTGCACTGGCGCCTCTTACTCTGAACATTTGAGCATTTTCAGCATAAATAATTGATTAATATTGCATGTATACGAGGTTAGAAGTCAAATGAAGCATGTCAATCATCGTTAGCAGGCCAGGCGGTGGGGTGAACAGCGATGGCGGCGTTAGGCGCCCACTTTCCATGTAGAAGCAGCGCGTCGGGGCTTGGGCCCCCCTGCCGTCGGAGTCGTTGCAAGTGTGCTTGACCTTGCCCTCCTGTGTAGCTATTTTACTAAATGTATATATATTATCAGCTGCTAACCTAGTTATGATCAATATCACCTAGTGAGAACAAGTCATGCTGTACTCGCTATATTGTGCTGCTGACTTAGGGTTAGGTTCTAGATAAGATAATCGAAGCTATGGGCGCTTGATTACCGCTTCGATAAGCCTGGGTCAGATAATGGTCCTCGGCCTGCTACTACCCTTATTGACCTCAGAGTATACAGATACAACACTTGACATGCTTTCGTAACATCTAAAAGACCCAAAAATGCCATACATAACCCAGAATAATGTCTGTGTGCGGAAAGGTGCTCGGGCGCTCATTATGCGGTTGGCCATCAGCTTTGTGATCCGGACTTGAGTTTTGGGGATTTGACCTGAGCCTGCTCGGCAACCGTACTCGGTAAGCACAACTTCATAAATGCCATTGTGGGATTAACCGAATTGTAACGCGATCACAAGATCATAGTCTCGTCCCCAGCCATTCTAGCGCGCCCGGACTTCGCCGGTCGGAGACTGCGTCGGACATCAATGGTGATGTGCAGTCTCTGGTGATGAGTAAGGCGTTCGTGTATGCAGTCAGACATATATGTAAAAGTGCCTCTGATATATTCTTGAGTACATTTGTGTTTTTATAAGCCCCCTGCAACGGAGAGTACCACTGCAGCCCAAATAGCCGCCAACGGCAGGCTACGGGCGCGGTATGTGTGGGCAGCTTCGTCATGGCCAGGGGGCGCCTAATTAGGTCGACCTAAGACCTAGTGGACCTAGCAGACCTAAGGACCCTAACCCCAACGCAACGCGCTTGAAACAAGTAAGTCATTCTCACGCTAGGTCGTGCATATAGCGATCGCGAACGACGCAGCAGCCAGCACCTCGTCTCGATTTATTTATCGCATGCGCCCTGGGCAGCGCATATGCCCCGGACAGAACGCCCTTGCAGCAGCCAGCGTCCTGTCTCGATTTATTTATCACCTACCTGCCCTGGCTGCCTGGCTGCTAACTTACTGATCATGCTCTCACAGCAGCCAGCACTTGCGGCCCGTCTCGATTTATTTATCGCCTAAACCCCAGAAGGAGCACCCTTGCAGGCAGAACGCCCTTGCAGCAGCCGGCACTCGTCTCGTCCTCGCATCACTCCCTT